AAACACAATACTGTGTACTCATATCCAAGGTAGATTACCGCCATATCATTTTTTCAGTCAATTATAGAGTAATAAGTGTACCAGGAGACTTTGGCTGTAGTAGAAAATCATAATTCGGAAAACCGACAAGGCAGCCAGAAGGGGTGATCAGACTTCAGTGTTCAAAGGAACCTGACAAGGTCTGGTAAGTGGGAAGTCCGTCTGTCCTCAACCAACATGAAAAATATTGTTCCACTGGTAGATCAGATTGCATGCCTCAAAAGATAGGTTGAGTATTTCCAGTAGTAGGTCAGCGGTTGCCTTTCAAATTCATTATTTCTGACCGTTAATTCTCTGCCACTACGTAGATTAATAGTGATTTATCCTCGAAATTAGAAATAGAGAAAGCTTCATTACATTTCAAAGTGAAGAACACCCGTGGGGATGATCGAATTTCTCATGAGTTATTTAAGTATGGAGGAACGGAAATATTAGGCAAGTTCCATGCTCTGTACCATAAAAAGTGTACCTATAAACGTTTCCCAAAAGAACGGAAGTATGAAGAAATTTTCCTTATATATAAAGAGTGTCAGGAAACCGAGTGTAGCAGTTATCGTGGCATCACAGTGCTGGCAACTCACAGGAAACGCTTCTCCTGGATTTTCCCGGAAAGGCTGAGTGAAATAAATGATGAGGAACTGCGCACAAATCTATCGAACGTCCGGTTGGATTACTTCCGCCCTGGCCAAATTTTCGCCGCCCTAGGATTATTAACCAATACCGACGATTCCAGTTGTCTTTGTTTGCGAGTTTCCTCGACCTTAAGGTTGCATTTAATTTATCACACGTGCGACAGTATTGAAAATCTTGAAATGCGATACCTTGCACATCTTTTTTATTTTGGAGAAACGATTACATGAACCATTACTGTCAAATTTGAAGGAGATACGTCTGAATGATTCAGAAAAGTCATAAGCCCCTACAGCCTGTTTGCACTGGTCCAGTCGCTGATGAGGGTCATACTGAAGGTTCGTCTCCGTCGTTTGATCTTCTTCCCTGCAGGAACCGCTATGCTGCGTTGTTTCTTCGCCAGAGATTCCGAGTTCAGCATCACGGTGACGAACGCACTTCCGTCACAAATTGTAGTGTCAATGGCAGCCGGACCCGGTGGCCTTCTGCGTCTGTGCACCTGTGTCAGTTACTTAACCAGACAAGACGTGGAAGCGATCCATTAACCTGATTACTAATTGCCTATGCTGTTATGTAATAAGCTCAGCATGACTCATTCTCTGGCGCCGACCGGTCCTTTTATGAAAATGACCACCGGTTGACTTCCTGCGAACTTTCAGATGACTTCCGGTTCTCGAATAATCATTGGTCGCGATCCGGAATCCATTTCTTTGCAATCGTCAGAATTCAGGGAACCAGCCGAAAATGTCTGGAATGTTGCGCAACAAATCGCTGCTCGTTCGGCGAACTAGGTTTTGCCCCTGACAATTCTAATGCGATGGATATTCCGACGAGTTGTTCGCTACCTTCACTCTCTGGAGAGCGCCACTTTAACAGTTTTATTTATCCCAGATTAACAATGACTGCCATGCTCTGGGATTAATTTAAGCATTTGCCGCATAGGCGATGGATATCCTCCCTATCGCCTGGAGATCAGATTCTAGTAGGCTGTACCCGCTTTTAAACTGACCCCTCTCCTTTTATGACCCGCAGAAGAAATAATGTTTTGACGGCTTCTGAAATCTGAGTTACTTTATAGAACCAGGACATGTGTCGGTGTCTTAGTACTTCATCATGGTTGTTTTGAGTATATGGTGTTCGTTAC